CATTTCTCTTCTCTCCCTTAACATTTTCCCCAATTTTCCCTCATTTGCAAAAACCCTAAGGCCACCAAGCCCAAATTCTTTGTCAACATTTTCCCCTATTTCCTCCATTTGCTTGCACTAGGAACCCTAATTGCTCTAGTTCCTCAAAGTTCTTCTTTCTCTTCAATCATTTGCTCTTTTGATAGAGTAAAAATAGGCCTTTTCTCCCTCCTTGGTTCTTCTTCTTTTTCCCTTAGATTCTCCCTTCTGGTTCAATTATTCTTCTATAATTCCTTTTCCTAATTTTTGATCCTATCATCTTCCTTGTTTTTATTCACCCAATCACTGAACCTAGCATGTATTCAAGCAATTCCCATCAACCATCCTTTCAATTTGGTTCTCCATCTTTATCTCCTCATTATGGCGAGTTTGTGGGTTTCTACAAATGTGGTCTTCAACTAGTTAGAAGAACTGCTATGACTTGATTGAACTATGGATGCAAGTTTTGGGCATGTCCAAAATTTTCGGTAAAGTTTGTTTTTGTGTTTTTGATTATGCATATGTGGGTATTTGAGCAATTTGTTTATATATTAATGTTAATCCTTCTCTATGCTTCTCTGTTTAGATATCTTCCCTTTGGTTTGGTTATATCTATTGTGGTCTTCAACTAGTTTGTTGTGCTTTGCTTTGATGAGGAATCTGGTTTTTTCGTATTGTTTGTTTTTGGCTAAGATTGTTTATTTTTGGTAAGGTTTGTTTATTTGTTTTATTATTGTTTTTATTGTTCTTTATTGTTGTAGAAGGATGGTGAGGATACTGGACATACTTGTCGATTGTTGTGCAATGATCCATGTGAATTGAAATCTAGCTGCAATTTTTTCATTTGGTTTGATGATGACTTTGATCCTCAACCTAAGTTTTGGATAACTAATTGCTAGGATAAGGAGCAAATACTGATGAATGAGGTTTTACAATTGAAAAAATAGAACCTGGACTTGCATAAAGAGATTGATGGTTTGGAGAATTTGAACTTTAAAATGGAAAACAAGCTCAGCAGGATTGAGACAGTTGCTTCTAGTTATTCAAAGCTAAAAAAGTGTTTAATTTTTTGTATCTTCATAATTGCTTATTTGGCAATTAAATTTGCAAGATAATTGGTGCAAGATTGCTTTTGTAATTATATGACCACTTGTTGTAAATATATGGCTCCTTTTGTAACTAATCACATTATGAATGAAATATGACTTTTTTGGAAGTGGTTTACTTGCAAAATATGTTAATGTTTTGAGCATATATAGGGCATAACTTAACAGAAAAATAGGGTTGTTCATTTCAGTGAATGCTTATACAGAGCAATACTTAACAAAAAAAGTGATTGCTCATGACAGTTTTTACTGTTGGTATAGGGCATAATTAAACAAAAAAACACCTACTACACATTAGAAGCATTTCCATCCTCACTGTGTTCACATCTAAACCTGCATTTATAGTGCATTACAAGCACTTATATGACCTAATAGTGCCTATCATAACCTAGCATTCATAATACACAAAAAAAAAAAAAAAAATATGGTAAGCATTCACACCATCAAAATCCAAAAAATCAACATCCTCAAAATTAAAGTAACAATTCATAGCATGAACAAACACAAGTCATCACCCCTCAATTACAAGCATCCCCACCATTTCCTTCACTGATTTCTTGTAGTAAGGATCCTCAATCAGTAATCTCCATTTGATCCAACCTTATATGTTTTATGGCCATTAATCTCACACATCTTTCAGCCTACAAATAATAGCAACTCTACACAAATTAAATATATGAAAAAGTAAAGAGATAAATAAAAGAGTTTAAAATAGATGTTATTCAAAATTTCAAATCACATGAATAACACCCACATCTAACTATTGGTATGTGATGTTTTGTCTTTTAATTTGTTGATGTGGTTGACTAAACACCATATTTTCTTCCATGCTCACTGTGGTAGTCCCATAACACTTTGCACGTTGCCTGTCGCAAAGCTAAAAGTATCAGCATTCAACTAGACACATTGTAAAGTAGTTGTAGGAGCTTCATTTTTCTTAGTTTTGGCTTGCTTTTTCTTTTGATTTGCAACACCTTACACCCAATTTTGTGAGACAAATGTAAGGGAAAAAAAAGTTAAAAGTCATTAAAACCAGTAAATCATGAAATAAAACATAAATATTAAGACCTTTTCCTCACTTTTCTTCTGTGATTTAGCACTATTGCTTGCAGCAGCATTCTCATTGATATTGAAAAAGTTGTTCACCCTAGAATCTTTAACTACAAGAGTAGTCTTTTTGACCCTTGACCCACAAGTTCTCTTGAACTCTTTAGGTAGTTTACTCAATTCAACACTCTTTGCAATCTATTTTTTCCTTGAAGGATTTTTTTTTGAAACCATCATGGTTGACTCAGAAGCTATAGGAGCTGGTTGGACATAAAAAATTTGTTGAGCACCTATTGGAAGTTGAACATTAGAATGTGGTTCAACAATAACAAGAACTTGAACATCATAAACTTGTATAATAGCTTGGACATCAAAATTTTGTTCAACACTAATAAGAACTTGGACATAAAAAACTTGTTGAATGCCAACAAGAGCTTGAACATTAGAATCTGATTGAACATTAGTAGCTTGTTGGACATCTAATGAAACCTAATTTTGAGCATTTATTGAAGAATCTTCAACCTACCACATAATTCACACAACTCAAATTAATTTCTCACATGATAGAAGTTTAGGTTGGAACTTACAACAGTTTTTTGGATTTTTTCTGGACATGATCTGGAGTTGTGACCCTTTTTGAAGCATACTTGACAAGTCATTACCCTTCCCTTCCTACTCAAGGTTGATCCACTAGTGTTTTCCCATTCTTCTAAGTGCCTCTTTTTCTTAGGCCTTCTTGGTGTCTTTTTAGGCATCCCTACATCAGCCCACAATTGCATTCCATCAATAGGAATTTTTTCATGTTTGTATGTATCAATGCAAGCTTGCTTTCTATAACATGGGTGCACATAATCTTCATAGTTCTTGTGCTTATGCTGGATGAAAAGCATTCCATGTCTACAAGGAATACCATTGAGCTACCAAACTCTAGAACTACAAGTTTGATCACGAAGATTAACTAGAAAGGAATATGGTTGTTTTTGTACTTCATAATGCCATATTGCTTGTGATTTTATATGCCATCTTGACATTTTGTCTCTCTAGTCTTCAATCTTCTCCCAAATCTTTGGACCAAAATCACCTTTGAACTTTTTATCAACAAACTCCAACTTTCCAATGTTTCTTTTGCTACACTTTCTTCTAAGATCCTCTAGCAATGAGAGGGGACCCTTATGCCTTGCATCTAGAAAGAAACCATTGAAAGTTTCAATCATGTTATTGTCAATTACATCACATCTTGCATAGGTATCAAAAAATGCCTTGCACTAGAATTTTGGATCCAGCTTCATCAAATAATCATTTGTTGTAGGCTTCAATTTACTGGCTAAAACCAACATTTAGCCCCTCACCTTACAAAATTGGTAGGTTTTAGCCCCTAACCTTATAATGTGACACTTTAAGCCCTTTACCTTACGAAGTTGGTAGGTTTTAACCCCTCACCTTACAAAGTTGGTAGGTTTTAGCCTTTCACCTTATATTATAACACTTTTAACTCCTTATCTGTACGAATTGAAGAAAATAGCCCTTATTTAACCTTAGGTTTTAATGTTCTATTAGTTCTGTTAGTTGACTGTTAGCATTCCGTTAATGAAACCAATAAATAAAATTGAATTTAAATTTCATATTTTTTATAATGGAATGCTAACAGATGTTAACAGTTAACTAATAGAACTAACAGAATGTTATAACTTGATGTTAGGTGAGGGTTATTTTCTTTAATTCATATCGGTGATGGGCTAAAAATATCATAATATAAGCTAAAGGGTTAAAACCTACCAACTTTGTAAGGTGAGGGGTTAAAACTTACCAATTTTGTAAGATAAGGGACTAAAACTATCATGTTATAAGGTGAGGGGCTAAAACCTATTAACTTTGTAAGGTGAGAGGCTAAATGTTGGTTTTTGCCCAATTTACTAAGCTCTTTAAGATTCCTCTTAAATTCTGCTCATTTGTTGATTTGGCAGTGATCCAAAACCATCTTTGCAATGCCTTACCCTTGCGTTCCTTTCTAAAATTTGCATAAATATATCTAGTACATCTGCTATGATGTGCTTTTGGGAACAAATTTTGGATGATATTAATCAGCCCCTACAAAATGGAAAAAGATAAATGACTTTCTTTAATCATTGTTTGCACAAGTATATAGTTCAGCAATAAAATTTAGAAAATTACCTTTTGTTGATTAGATACAAAGTAAAATATTCTCTATCACCAATTTTGAGATCTTGATTCAAAAACTCCAAGAACCATGTCCATGTGCTTGTGCTTTCACCTTCCACAATGGCCCGAGCAACTGGATACATTTGATTATTTTACATCCCTTCCAACTACAGATAGTAATTAACACTTGCGAGGACCTTTTAAAAATGCACCATCTAGACCAAGTATTGGTCTACAACCAGCTATAAACCCTTCTCTCAATACAGCAAAACAAACATAAAAGCACAAGAAAATAGGTTTAGAATCTGGTGTAGGCGTCCTCGCATCAATCTCAAATGTAAAAGTGAGATTCTTCTTTAGTAGCTCTAATCTATAATCAAATAACTTCTTGTATTCATGCCCATAGTTGCCTTGAAACTTTCTAACAATAAGTAGTTTGTCCTTCTAGCTTGACTCATTATGATCTCAAGATGTAGATCCTTATAAATTGCCTCTTGGTTATTGATTTGGGAAAGTGTAGTGACTGAAATGCCCCTTGTCTTAATGAAGTGTCTGGCTAAAATTCTTGATTTAACCCTCTTGTTGTTCCAACTCAAACCACACGTATGCTCATTTTTGTAAGTTTTTATCATCTAGCTCCTTGTCTTACCATCAATGAACAGTAGCAAAGCCCAATTGCAACTGTTATTTGCACATACAACCCTTACTCTTTTTTTTTTTTTTTTATCATTATTCTTCGAGATTGTTTCTCTTTTCACATAGATAAAGTTTGCTACAACAACATCTTTAAATTGCTTCCTACTCAAAAAAATCATTCCTACTTCAAACTCTGGATTGACAATGGAGTCATTGAACACCTTGTGCAGTGATCACCTTCTTCTTGCTTCCTCTGCCTCACTATCATCACTAGTTGTAACAAAGTTGACCTCATCATTATAATCAATTGAATCACTAAGGCCATCATCTACAAATGCTTCAGTTGGATTAAATAAAGCCCCATCTATATCAGCATCATCTCCATATAACTTAACACTATCCTTGTATTGAATCCTTGTTGCTTGCCACTCCTCATCCTCTTTGTCGGTTAACCATGGAACATCAATATACTCATCACCACTGATCACATCTTCTTCAGTTCTTCCTTTTGCACAATTTCTAGTATTTTATCCTACAATTGATATTTGAATCTCATGGCTAACACAACCAAAACCATCTTCCTTTTCCAAATCAACCCCAAATTTATGCAAATTTACATTACATGCCACTATCTCACCAGCCATTAAAACATCATATACTGAACCATTATTCCTATGAGAAGGCCCACCTTTTTTCACTTGTTTCTCAATTTTAGATTCATGTTCAATGTAGACATCCATATACCCATGATACTTTAGTAGTTCAAACATGTCAACAATTGAATCATCAGAAACAATTAACACAAGGCCATTATCAAGCTTCTTTGTAGAATTTTTATACCATACATCTGTCATGCCATCTATGTCAATGAGCAAGCCTTGCAATTTCTCTCTAAAAATATGAGGTTCAAAACTACTACATTTGAGTCATATGCTATGAAAAGTACCTTCGACATACTAAATTGTTGGGTCCCTAACAAATTTGCCCCCATAATTCAAGTATATACCACATTCAATAGAATCATCCATTTCACCTGCAAAAATTAGGGACCACCAATTAGAAAAGACCAAAGGAACAAAAGAATAATATCTATTTCATTTTGCAAAGTGGAGGACAACATAACCAAATAAATAAATAATTAACACCATAACATTATATTTAATTGATCTTTATTCATAGATTACTAATTGATTATTACCTCCTAAAAAGCCTTAGCAATTTACTCAAAACACAATGCCTTCCCCTTTTCAGAGATCCCTATATTCGTGTACTCTGTCTCTTAAGATTTTCACATTTTGGGTAATAAAGATAAAAGAGGGTGAACAATATATGTTACCCAAATGAATTGGTCATGTGATGAATAGCCAAGCGAGAAAATTATCACCTTTTCTTCCCCCTTTCTTCTTATTTTCCTGCTTGTCTTACTTTTTTCACAAGTGTTTTTGCTAGCATCTCTACAACAAAAAGAAAAAAAACATGAAAGCATGGCATCTTTGCAACAAAAAAATTAATAATAATAATAAAAGTATGGTGTTTGAGTAAGCAAGAAGGCAAAGTGGGCAAAGTGGTCCCTATTTTTGCACAAGTGACAGCACATGTGAAAAAAAAAAAAGAACAAATAGGTTTAATTGCTAACTGTTTGGGACTTAACGGTCAGCAATGATGGCAACATGAATAGTGTCAGGGAAGGGATGACAATGAACCTAAAGAAAGGAGTAGAGGGACAATGTTTAGCTCTTTGGTAAAGTAGAGGGACAATAATGAACAAATCCTTAGTAAAGGGATAACAACAAAAAAGTTATGAAAGTAGAGGGATGACAATCAGTTTTAAACCTTTATTATATAATTATAAAAGGTTGCATTATAATTTATTTTATAATAATAAAATAATGTATTAACATTTTATTTAACATAGGTTAAATGCTTAATTTGGTCTCTTAACTTTAAGAAATGAACATTTTTGGTCCCTCAACAATTTTTTGCACTTTTTTGATCCCTCAACTATACAAAATGCACTCCGTTAGTCCTTCTGTTAATTTGAGCCGTTAACCCTGCTTAGGTGGCATTTTTTATATTTTTTTTTGATGATGTGGAGAGCAAAACTTAAAAAAGTGATGACATGTGCCATGTCACATGCTACCTAGCAAAATCGTGCCAAATACATCCAAATGGGTCCCACATCACCATCTTTGCCCATCGGTTACTGTTTTCTTCCTTCCATGTTCGACAGAACCCAGATTTGGGTTCGATGTAACCCAGCAAATAGGTTCCATCAAACCCAGCTCGATTCATTGAACTCAATTGCTCAAAAATTCCTCACAAAAACCTG